TATTGGCCAAGCAACAGCTCAACTTCCTGTTTACAGGAAAGGATTAATTCAAAGTATGAGGAGAAAACGTGAAAAGATTGACAATAACAATTATATTGGAGAAAGTTATTATGGAGATTTCAATTCAGAAGAAGAAACTCCTACTACCGCCACTAAATGTGAATTCCATATCAATCAACAGCCAGTTATTGCAGTTATTGATAGTGGAGCTGCAGTTAGTATTATGACTACTGCCATAATGAAAACTTTGAAATTAACTATTGATGGACCTTCAGAATATGTAATTAAAACTGCCAATGGAACTAGAGTTAGATCATTGGGAGAAATCCAAAACTTACCCCTAAAAGTCAGAAATTAAATTATTAAAACCAATGTTCAAATTATAGAATCAAGTGATAGTGTTTTCATTCTAGGAAATAACTGGATGAGAAAGGTGAATGCTGCCCTTGACTGGAACAAGAAGACGCTAACTATCAGATACAATGGACGATCCATAACAGTTCCTGTGATTTTTACTCTTCCAAAACCCATTAAAATGAAGCAATCATTTGAGTATGACGATGAAGAGAAATATGAGTCTGAAGAGTTAGAAGAAGCTCAAATCTATATGTCTGACTTTTCTGGTTATTCAACAGAAGAATCCCTTGAATTTAACCCCTAGGAAAATGAAGTATCTCCTGCACACCAAAATAATGAAGATGAAGAATTGGAAGAATCAAATCCTGCCATTTATTTAGCTCAAGCAGAAGTATATAGTGGAGAAAAAGTCAATCCAGACTTACATTTAGGACCATTAGACTACCACCAACAAAACCAATTTCAACAACTCTTAAGTGACTATGCAGATATTTGTACTAAAAGCCAAATGGAAATTGGAAAAACAAATGTAATTAAGCACAAAATTATTACAAAAGATGCGTACGCCTATCTCTCAACCACCTTACAGATGTAATCCTAAATATAGAGAATTTTTACAAGGTGAAATCAAGAGAATGGAAAGTCAAGGACTTATAAGAAAATCAGCCAGCCCTTGGGCTTTAACTGTAGTAATTGTTAATAGAAAAGAAGGAGAAAACCGTTTATGCATAGATTATCGCAAATTGAATGCTATCACCAAAGCAGATGCTTACCCATTGCCTCGAATTGATGATATGCTTGAATCTTTTAGTAATGCAACATGGTTTACCACATTAGATTTAGCCAGTGGTTATTGGCAAGTAGCTATGGATCCAGCAGATATAGAGAAAACTGCCTTAATTACTCCATTTGGATTATATGAATTTCTAGTAATGCCCTTTGGTTTAGCTTATACGCCTGGAACTTTTCAACGATTAATGAATAGAATACTCCAGGAGTATCTAGGGAAATTTGTAGCAGTATATTTAGATGATGTAATCATCTACTCAAAAGGAACCTTGGAGCAACATTTGGATCACCTTAGACAAGTATTTGAAACTCTTAGACGAGCAAATTTGAAGATTAAACTTAAGAAATATTACTTTTGCCTTGGAAATATTCATTTCCTAGAACATGTAGTTGGACGAGAAGGCATTCGTCCTGATCCAGAAAAAATTGAGAAAATTAGAACTTTTCCAGTCCCAACAAACCTAACACAACTTCGCTCAGCATTAGGCTTATTCTCCTACTATCGAAAGTTCATCAAAGATTTCTCAAAAATAGCCAAACCAATGTTATTACTTTTAAAGAAGGAAACCCCTTTTCATTGGACTGAAAAACAGCAAACTGCATTTGATTATTTGAAGGAAAGATTAATTAAATCTCTTAATATATCCTGACTTTGAATAACCCTTCATTATTCATACAGACGTATCTGGTACTGGACTTGGTGATGTGTTATTACAAATAAGAGAGGATGGAAAAGAACATGTAGTCGCTTATGCCAGCAGATCTTTGAATAAGGCTGAGTGCAATTACCTTATAACTGACCAGGAATGTCTTGCAATAGTATGGGCTATCAAACATTTTCAACACTACTTAGGATTAAAATCTTTTACAATTGTTACTGACCACTCTGCTCTAAAATGGTTAAAGATATCCAAAATCCCAAAAGGCCGCCATGCGAGATGGGTCATGGACCTTCAACAGTATGACTTTAATATTAAGCATCGAGCAGGAAAAGCAAATGCAAATGCAGACGCATTATCCAGAATGTTTGAAGAAGATAACTAAACTCTTAGTTGTTTCATGATTTCTATCAAAAAAGAAAGACAAACTAATGTAAATGAAAGCTCTACTCCAGTACATGAAGAGTATGATGCAGATTCAGAAGATGATTATACCGATAGACCTGCTCAAAAAGCTATCGATTTGTTAAATCATTGTGATTATTTATTATATGATATGCAAAGCTACATTGAAGAATAATCAGGAAATAGTTCTTCTATCAATATTATTTCAGGAATTTGATATGATTTTGACAACCCCAATGGACCTCATCCAGAAGATTGTATTTGTAAAGATTGCCAACCCCCTCCAGCTCGTTCACCATCACCATATACACAGGTCGAAAAGTGAAAAATCAGGCACCAATCGGTCACCAATCAGATACCTGATTGGTGACCGATTGGTGACTGATTGATGCCTGATTTTTCACTTTTTGACCTGTGATAGTTGCTGCAATAAGATTATTTGTCAGTGTAATGAAGATAACTATTCAATTGATATAGAAGAATATAATAATTCTTGGGAAAGACAAATAAATGGAAATGTATTCTCTGATTAGTATTCAGAAGAAAATCAGATCAATATTGAAGAACATATCACCTGGACCATGTGTGGTATAGACCGTCAAGCTTTAGAAAATATGTATTTGGAAAATATCAAAATTAAACAAATAATTGCCGGTCAACCAATCAATCATGGTGGAAGTCATTATGGAATGTGATACAGAAAATCATCATGTGCACACATATTGTACGATGTGCAAGAAGAATTTATTTTATGGAACTACCATCTATGACTGTATTATTGGATTCACTTTAGGAAAAATTAGGCCAGATATGAATCCCAAATTTCTTATTAATAATCAATGGTGGAAAGAACCTCAAGCAGTACAACTTGAAAATAATATCAATTATCTTAAATATATTGAACGATTAATGAATGATCTACCAGTTCACAAAATATCTTTATTGCCAAATTGGACTAAAAGTCCACCTCTTTTACATATAATAATTAACAAAGTATCAAAGATGAAAGCGAAAGTATCTGCATCATGACGAGACAGCCTAAATTTTTAAAAATGGATATCAAACATTACAATAACATATATAATTATTTAAAATATAATCAATTACCTTCTACATTAAATAACCAACAGCAACAACAAATTCAAAAACAATCAGTATATTTTATTATCAAAAATAATTTTATTTATAAAAAAGATAAGAAGAAACAAAATAATTTATTATGAGTGATTAGAAGACATGAATTGGAACCAGTTCTTTTTATGTTCCACAATGATCCTACTCCTGCGCATTTTTCAGTTGACACAATGTTTGACAAAATTCAATTAAGATATTATTGGCTACAAATGTACAATGACATCAGATCTTATGTCATGTCATGTGATTCTTGCCAATGAAGAGGAAAATAAAAGACAAAGTTACCTTTACATCCTATTCCAGTAGAAAGTCCTTTTTATCAAATAGGAATAGATTTTGTAGGACCTTTACCTATAATTACAAATGAAAACAAATATATAATTACAGCAATAGATTATTTAACAAAATGGCAAGAAGCACAAACTGTAAAAGAAGATACTGCAAAACAAGCTGCACATTTTATTTATGAAGAAATAATTTGTAAACATGGATGTCCAGCAAAAATATTATCAGATCAAGGAACTCATTTTAGAAATCAAATAATTGAAAAATTAATGGAAAAATTTCAGATAAAACATTTATTTTCAACGCCATACCATCCTCAAACAAATGGACTTGTAGAAAGATTTAATCGTACTTTATCAGAATCTTTAGCAAAATTATCAACAGATCATATTGATAATTTGGATAATTATATTTAAGGTTGCTTGCTGAAACCTAGGGGTTTAGGCAAGATGGCATTTTACTGAAAAGCAAAATTCTGCCAAAACTATATTAAAGTTATATTAAAAAACTGGCAAAACTTTGGAGAAAGGCGAAACTGCTGAAACTTATTATAAATGCTGAAACTGCCAAAACTCTGCTGAAACTATAATAAATCTATAGTAAAATTTTGACAAAACTAATCGTAGAATTTTGAAGAGGTTTAGATAAGCAACCTTAATTATATTGCACCAATTTTATTTGCTTATCGTACTACAAAACATTCAACTACAAAAATTGCACCTTTCTTTTTATTATATGGATGAGATGCTAAACTACCAACTGATTTATTAGAAAATAATGGAACTCCAACTTTAATAAATCACATAGAAAATTTAGTTGACCAATTACCTTAAGAAATCGAAATAGCTAAGACAAATATTGAAATATCTCAACAAAAACAAAAAGAACGACATGATAGAAAATTACGTCATCAAATAAAATTTTCTATTGGAGATAAAGTTTTATATTATAACGCAGCAAAAGAAAAGCAATGGACTGGAAAACTAAATCCAAAATGGAAAGGACCATACTATATTCATCAAGTTGGAGAAAAGGGAGCGTACAAATTATGAACTATAGATGGAAAAGTCTTACGAACTCCTGCAAATGAAAGTTTATTAAAATTGTATCATGATTGACAAAATTGGGAACCAATAATTGTAGTATAATTAGATCTACAACTCGTGGCAAATAGTTAATTTTACTTAGTATGATTTACAAGTGTTACAGACGATCAAAATGAATTTGTGACTCAATAGTCAATACCCCAAAAAAATTTATTAAAAAGATGAAAAATTTTAGAAATTTTATTGCGAAAAACTTAATGAAAAATTTGTTACAAAAATATATTAGAAAATTTTAGAAAAAAATCAAAAAGAAGAAAATTTTTATTTAATCAACTTCTTCAACACTAGGATCAAAAGTAGAAACGTTTGACAAAATTATATTACATTCCTCAAAAAGCACTTGTTTCACTTCTTCAAATGCTGCTTCTGCACGACCTTTACTACTTTCCAACCTCATATTATGTGCAATTAATTGACATACTCCCTCTTCAAGACCTTCTATTGTTCGTCACTGATCAATGATTAATTTTTGGGCTTCCCATAATTTTCGTTGCTCTTCAGCCCAGATTTTATTATGGAACTCAGTATCGAGATTTTTATGAGTCCCCATTTCCAGCAAGCTCTTAAATTTCTCTTGAAGACTTTTTGATTGTAGTTTTGCATGAATCATTGGTGCTGAAATAAACTCCAAGAATCCTTGTACAACCATATCAGGATCAGGACCTAAGAGATTGGAGTGGTACAAGATTCACAAATGAATGCATATGAGATAAATCAGAGAATACTGTGTGTGTGAGCCTTTAAAAATAGTAAATATAATCACTCTAATTCAAATTAAAAATTTTTTCTACTTCAAAGTTCTTTCAAAGTTCTTTCCTTTGAACTAAATATATTAGCAAATTCACATATACTATTTAATATCAATACTTAAGTAAATTTTAAATTTTGTGTAATATTCATAAACTTGTCTAAATATTTAATAAATTATTTAACACCTCTAACTCATAAACTATGTATAAATTTATTATCTTACTAAAATATGCTCCTACTCTGAAATAATTAGAATCTGCATCTTTTACTTTCTACTTGGAAATATAAACAATTATGATTTTTAAAATCTTTTTAAATTTCATAATTTGCTATATCAAAGTAATAATTGGATAATCTTTTGTTAATATTTTAACCTTGATATCTTTAAAACAAGTATAAGCCAATTAAATACTTATAATGTTATTTCGACTTTATTCTCAAGCCTCTTTATTCTTTTTTTTTAATGCTCGTTGGTAATCCTTTATAAACTTGAGCTAGAGTATTTTTGAAGGAATCCATCATTTTTATCATTTAAAATAATGTTACATTTCTTGAAAAGAACTTTTTTGCTTCTGTATAAACTTCCTTAGTATAATCTTTAATTCTCTCTAAACACATATAAAGTATATATTTACAATATCAGTTACTACAAATATTGCTCATACTTTTAGTAAGTAGTTAAGTCATTTATTAATTGAACTTTTTCTCTGTTAATGTCTTTTATTACTACCAATTCCACCAATAACCTTTGCATTTGCTTTTCTTAGCTATTTCTTGATAATAACCAATTTCTTAATCCTTATAAAGTAACTCCTTAAGATCATTTGAGCTTTACTTTCATACTTATTATAAAGAATAATATGCCCTATTATCATTAATTCATATAATTTCTTTCAGAACTAAAAAATTATGACTGCCTTTAATATTAAGTCATGCATAGCATCAAAAGATGTGTAAAATGCTTATCTTATATTAGCCATAATATAATATATACCATAGAATATAATTGCAAAATATACTCTTAAATTAAAAATATCATGAATTCATAATCCAATTAACCTTATTTATTATTGCATGATCACTGTGATGTTTCTAATGAAAAAGAATAATTAAATAAGTTATACTAATGCAATAAGTAAGGTAGGATATTCATATATTTGAAATCCTGTAATACCAGCTTTACTTAAGTTTAACCCTTAATCATAATCCTGTTTATTAACAAAAGTTAAATAATATGTATCTTTCATTTTTTTGTTTTAAAAAATTTTATCTAAAGGTAGATCTAGCATTGTTGAAATAAGATCTTTACTAAGAATAGCTCTACAGTTTGAACTAGTTATGGTCCAAAAGAGTCCTTAAGTTCCATGGACGCATTATGATTATTTTGAAAAAAATACCACATCTTATTATCTTAACAATGTAATAAATATTTACAGTTTCCTTGACAATCCAAAATCAACTATCTTGGCATTATTTGTCTATTATATTATTTTTAATATATTACAATGCAGCATGGAATGAATATGTGTTCTGTATTCTATGGACTAGTAATAGAACTAAGGATTACTAATGTAAAACCTATGATATAGTTATGAATTGTGTCCCATAGAATAAATTCTGTTGCATATTGTGCACCTCTGATAATTGGTTGGTTGGTGATCACTTGTTTGATTTTAATGTTTTTGGCATACATATTCTCCAATGCTTGTACATCCATTCTGCACATTGTCCAAGTAATATGTTTTTTGAAATTAATTTTATTTTCTTTTGAATACATTATCCTTATACCAAATGCCAACACTAGAAAATGATTTTCCTAGAGCAACCTGACTATAATAAATAATTATTAGAACCTTTTGGAAAGTCTATATTAAATTGTTACCATGAATTTGTCTTTCTCAAGAATTGTAATATTTTTCAGTATTAATTGAACTATAAGGTGAATAGTTCAGATAATTCTATTTAATGAGTGTTTTAATAAGTTATATAAAATACCATATGTAAACAATGTAATAAATATCTATAATGCTTTCTTGACAATACAAAATCAACTAACTGTCTTGGTATTAATTTGTTGAGTATGATTCTATTGATGTTACAGTATTTTCAACACATTATTCACAATGTGGGAGAAAGTAAAGTAAAAAAATCTTTCAATATTAAATTTTTTTTACTCTCATTGAGATTTTGTATCATTAAGAACAAAGGTTTCAATTCACTAAGGATTAAGTCTTTGTCAGTGATTGATATGATTTTGAAAGCAAATGTGCTAATTGATCATAAGAAATACTTCTTGAATTGGAAGAATCATGTACAATGAAATTTAATGTGCAGTTTTTTTTCTGAAAAAAATAACCCTTTTCAGAAATCTTTGTAATCTTATTAATAATGATAAAAGAGCTTAGAAATAATAATAATAGAAAAATTTAAGTAATACTTTATATTTTGAATTTCTTTTTATGAACTTTTGTAAACCTTGAACATTCTAAAATCAATAATTAGGAGCAATCATGTTTGCTCTATTATCAGCTGCTCCATTATCAGTTGCTTTATCAATAATTTTTAAGTTATAAATCATATAAAGAAAATATAGTTTCTTTAAGATCTTTAAGGGTCACTTGTTCTATATTTGCAACCAGTTGAATACCTTTGTGCATTTTGGATTAACTATAATATTGAATCTATTGAATCCTACATCATATCCAGGATATTGTTCACTTGTACTCATAATTATTTACTAATAGTAGTTATCCTTAAAGTACTAGCTTTCAAGATCTGGTTCTTTACAGTTTAAAATTGATTATCATAAAGAAATTAATTCAATCTATGATTATATGTATAATTCCCACTTTCAAGTTGATTTATTTTAGATTTTGTTGTGCTTGGAAGTGAGCTTTTTGTTTTTTTTGTTTTCTTTTGGATGTAGCATGCCTGTTTATTACTTATTGGTACATAACTGATATTAGTAAGATTGTTGCCTCTGATAAGAATGGAACATTCTGATGAACAGTACATAAGTTTGCCTTCTTTAGTGGTTAAATAACAATAAAATAATTAGTTAAAAGGCCAAAAGTATAATAATTAATGACATTTTGGACCATAATATTTTCTAGTTACAGTATCCAAAAAAAAGCAGTTTTCTGATAAAACTTTCTTGCAAATATTTCAAGTAATCAATAATTAGAAGATATAATATAAGCAATGATATGATAACTGGCGTCCATTGAATTATTAACCAGTAAATTCAGGAAAGGTTAGTGATGGAATGAAGTATTTTGTTTTTCTTTAAAGATTATATCCCTATACACTTTTCTAGTTTTAAAAATTTTTCATAGGGTATGAAATCATCTATAAAATCAAATGATGATTAATTTTTGGTATTTGAGTATTTCGAGAAATAAATTGTTGACCGCATCTATCATCTCGTGTTTGGTTTTGAATTTTGAAATGAATTCAGGAAATGAATAGGCGCAGCTGCAGCTTGGAAATCCATACGCGTAATAGTAATGGAGGTTCAGTGAGGCTGCCGAATTCAGATTAAACATTTCCCATTAGGGGATGCATGACTTGCAATTTAAACTAATAATATTTCAGACCATTTAATACATCAATTATATTGTTGATGGTAAATATCGAATTTTAATTACTTTTGAGCAAATTAATCTTATGAAAATTTACATATAAAGAATTTCTTTAGAAGGCATATTTTGGAAATTTTCATTAAAAAATGAAATATTCATAAAGTGGATTTATTCTAATATTATTATTATAGAATCATGAAAACTTAATTATTGATAATATATTAAAAAAAGGGAAAGAAATAAATGAGAGAAAAGGAAAGAGGGTGAATAATAATTGATTTGAAATTTATTTATATAATTTTTAGAAAATAAAAAGCCATAAAAGCCTCATCCATAAAATATTTAATTGTTCCAATTAAAATGCCAAACATCATAAAACATCAAAGCCAAAAATTACTATATTGGTGGCCACCATAGCCACTATAGCCTCCATATACACCATATACAACATATACACCATATACATAGCCACAAAATCACAAGTTTATGATTTGGATCTTCTCATCTCATATGATGATAATTATTTGAACAATTAAATAAAATTTAACTTTAAATTTTGCCTAAATATATAATTAAACAAAAATAATATTTTTTTCTTTTACATGTTTAATTTTACTAAGAAATATATCTAGAAGCAATCATAAATTATAAATAATTTTAGAAAATAACAACTGATAATAACACAAGTATATCACACTTATTTGTTTAAATTTAAATTCATTAAAGTCTTACACTTGTTTATTGGAATATTAATTGGACAGTTGTTCTACATTATTAGTTTAACCTAAATTATTAAACACATCAATAAATTTTTAAGTCCGCTTACTCCACTCTGTCTGACACTGCTGTAATTTATTACACGTAGTAAATGTATTCTTATTTTTTTGGTTTGTAAGTAAATTAGTATAACCTAATCACGAAACTAAACACTCTTCTAAATTACAAAACTGTTATATCAGATAAATTAAAAACAAATTACCGAGATTATAGGTTTCAGATATAATTAAAAATTACTGATCGGCAATAAATCTGTCCAAATTTATAATGCTACAATCTTGCAAAATTCTGGCCAGAATTACCACCAATCAGTGCGAATTATTATTTAAAAATCGAGCTAAAGTAAGTATATCTGAAGTATACATAAAGTATAAATTTTAACAAATACAAAAAGTTGTTTATCAAAATTTCTCATTATGATATTTATCTTTTTTTTTATCAACATTTTTTAATTTTTTTAACATTAACGTAATAAAATTATCCAGATTTTCTTGGTTGCATCCGAACCACTATCATTAGATCTTACTATTATTAATTTCAAAATGCTCAAATCCTATAATAAAGCGTAAAAAGGTATACATACATTGAGTATTTATGTTTCACTACTATTTGTGACACGAACAATTCAACTGTACCATTTTGTAACCTTAAAAATAATAAATCTGTTGCACCACAATGCACAAAACGTAGTACTTATAAAGATTGGACAGGGGATGAAACTGTGGAGCCTAAAGATTATATATAATTTAGTAATTTGTTAAATAACCCGATACCTTTTAAAGTAAATATTATAATTTTTTTTTTTTAATAATAATTCAAAGCTCTGACACATCTTTATTTCATAAGGTAGAATAATTATTGTTAACCATATTATTTTTAAAAAAAGTTCTAACTGAATATTATGGCATCAGTTAGTATATTTAGCAAAGAGGTACGTTTAACAATTATATTTAATAAACAATAATTTATAATAACATAAAATATTTTGTTTTTTATATCGTAGGATGATAACCTTATCATACAATATATGAAAGAGTTTGGTCATCATCGAAACCCTTTCACATTGACTAGCAGCTTAATGCCAAAATACACAAGAAAGCAAATTCGTCAACGGTAGGCTTAGTTTGAACTTATATGCATTTTTATTGAAAAAAAAAATTTCTAACCCTTTTTGTTCGATTTAGTTGGAATGAATATCTTAATCCAAAATGTAAATACTGAAAATGTTTTATCTTGTTATATTTTCAAAGTAAAGTAAGAATTACTAATTTTAACACGTTTTTGATTAGTATATATCACGGACCCTTAGGAGATCGTGAAAAAAATTATATTATTGAACTAGCACAAAAACATCGAATGTCAAAAGTCATTAATTGGAAGCATGTGATTTGTGATTTGGAAAGACAATTTGATAAGCATTATTCTCAAAATCAAATTAAAAATTATTGGTACGCAAACCAGAGATATATACTATCATACCGTAATATGCACCTTTCCAAACCTCTTTTCGATGATGAACAATATCAAAATTATTCCCCTTTGTTACCCACAATGGAACCTACATCACATGAACCTAAATTTAATAAACCCTATAAGATGCAACCTTTATAATGCTTATTTTACCGTTAAATTTATTTTATTTATTAACATACAAATTAAAGACTGTAACCTTTAATTATCAATTTTTTTTATACTCGAATTATCCCGTTTCTGTTGTAATTATTTATTACCATTTACAGACGACCTAATAACTGAAATTAGGAGTTTTGTATGTTCAAAATAAAATGAAAAAAGTTTGAGTTGATTTTCCGAATGATCAAATAATGCTGAATAAATCACATGACACTTTCTTAAATGTTTCATTTACTTAATTTACTTAGATGATTACGAAATATTTGTTGTTTCAAAATATTATTTGATACTTATTACATATGACATAACGAAACTTAATTGTTCATAGTGTATTTTACAAATTGTTCGTTGGGTATTAATTTAAACAGCTAATGCTCATGAAACAAAGAAATAGATGTTTGAAATATAAATTTAAATGGAGAATCACGTTAACGAAATTTTACTTGTAATTTTAATAAAGGTATAAAAATCACTATTTCATCTAAATTGACATAATCTATTTTTATAATATTTTACGAGAAATTAGTTCAGTAATTCAAGTACATACAGTATTAATACATGATAGAAAGACGACTAGCTGCGCCTAATACTACTCAATCACATGATATAACGTCAGATTAGAATCTTTTATGGAAATAGAAATCATTATTTTCCATCTTTTTCTCAAAATACCAGCTATTAAAGTAGAACACAATTGCGAATAAAATTACTTAAAAAGTAATTCTATATAATTATTTGGATTAAAATATTATTTATATCTATTATTGTAGAAATATTTTATTTTTTTTAAATTATTTCACTTTTTTGTAAAATTATTACAAATAATTTTTGTGGCCATGACATTTTAGGGCATTAATGAAATATTTTCATTTGACACCATTATTTTCTTATTATAATATTAAAACGATTTTAAAACAAAAGTTTCATAAAATTAGTAGTAATTTCATGACTTTTATGGTTAAGAATTTAATAGCTATACATAATTTTTTGCTTTGTGTTATGATGTCTTTTTAATTGGAAAAATAATACTTTTTTTTAATTTAAATATAAATAACCCTTAAAATTTCGTTGATACAAATTATTTCTCTTTTTTTCTTTTCCTTTCCTTTTGTTTTATCTCAGCTACCATAAAAGAATATTTTATATAAAATATAATTATTTCCAAGTATTATTATATATAGTTTTATAACACTTATAATAAAATAGATATAAGAAATATGATCGATAATACAATCAACAGATTTACAACAGAAACTTACGAAACTCTAAAATAAATAATAATCTAAACAATTTATCAACAAACAATTAAAATTGAATAATATAATTTATATACTATTGAAAACTACTATCTTTACCATCTTGTAATTAATGGTCTTGAAATTTATGCTAATTTGACTAATAAATATAATGACTTTTATGGTTTTTGGGCATCATCAGAAATTCGTAACACATTTCTTATTTTATGTCAAATATCTTTAATTTCAAGTAAAATTAGCCCTATTAAAAATAATATTAATTTATAGTATATAATTTCCAATTTATCATGAAGCATACCCATGATTCTTGAAAGTCCACCATGTCATGTTTATTTTGGACAATCATTTCATCATATCTAAGAAAATATATAATAATAGACCATACAAAGTGTCAGAGAGATTATATTATAAGAATATTAATTTATTCAAACCTCTTGATCTTACAAACTCAAAGTAATATTTAAATGGATACCCTTAAGGTTTCATGAAATCAAGGTCACATGCTATGATTAAACAATAAATTAAAGTATTTAAAGAAAATAATTTAATTTTATTATGAATATCTCTACTTATAACATTGATACAGTCAAATATTCATTGAATGGGAGTTCTCTCTATTCTATAATTTCTATATATATTAAGTTAATATATAGTAATAATTGATCAATTTCAAATAAAATTTAGTTAATATTAATATATATAATATTTTTATATGAATAGACAAGTAATTTTGATAATTGCATATAAATCTAAAGACAATAAATGTTGAAACAAGTATTAAATTGTTCATCAAATGGAATAATATACTTATATATTAATTATGTATTATACATATTATTTAAGCAAAGTCTGTTGTTCATATTATGAAAGCAAAGTTTGTTGTCCATATTATGAAAGAAATTGCCATAGTATTGATCATTAAAAAAAAAGGTAGACTTTTTTAAAAGGTATATTACTCAATTTCCAAAGAGAAAACATCACAGAGATTTTCATTACATCATAATGTATATTTTAAAAAGTATTTTTAAAAATGAGTAGTATAATTGTCAAATTTATTATATCACATTAATTTTTGGAGCCCAATCGGGCCATGGTTCTCAATTAGATAATAACATGTCATATAGATGTATAGATAATGCTAATATTGTGGCAATACTTCTCACAAATACTATAAAAACTGCAGTTGATCTACCACTTGCTATTAGGATCATTATAGTTGTAGTTTATTATTTTTATAAGTAAGTTAATTACCTAAAGTATACAAGCATAATTCAACAACTGCAGCAATAAGCAATAATGATGAAACAATTTACATAATTGTATACAAATAAACAGTTAATATTATCTATTCTTTATTAAGTAAAAGTAAGGATTTACAGCCGATTCTTGACAATAATAATATATTTCATTCGCCAGAAGAGATCAGATCAAAGAAATTCCCCTGAGAGGGTAATTGGTAAAACAGTATGAAAATGGAATAAATAACATTTAACAACATGAAGTAATCCAATAAGGCAGACTTACAGGGTGTCTTTATTTAACCCTTAATTTTTAGAGAACAAAAAAGACTTCTTTGATTTTTCATGGAATAAAGATTTTAAGTGTAATAAAAATTATAAAACTATTTTCAACATAATTAATAGTGATAGACTTTTTATTTTATATTGATGATAGACTTATATAATATATCAAAAATCATGAATAATCCAGGGTCAAATATATTCTTAACCCTAATATATAAACTTACACATTTCCTTAATCTCCAGATCCAAAATAACTATGACGTATATTTTTACACAAATCTCTCAGGCGAATTTTGGTAGGAAACAGGTAATTACCAATTAATTTTCATTAAAAATATTTTTTTATTTAAATTCATAATTAATAATATTTATTATCTGTAAACAGAAAATAAGTAGTATGGTTGATACATAATTTCACTAAATCACAAAATTTATTAATATAAAAAGTAAAAATAATTAGAGAATATGTAAATAAAAAGGCAAAAATAAAATTTCAAAATATTTATATAATATTTGAGTAAAACACGTATATATAAAAAAAAACGTATAAAAAATAACAAATACATATTGACTATTAACGTTAATGTTTATATAATCTCTATTCAACATCAATCAATCCATATTAGTTACAGTTTGAATATCTTATCACTCCTTCATTAATGTATCTTCTAACGATATCTCTATGTTTTTCTGTAATATAATCTTTAGAATTATAAATGATATTAAAATTAAGCAAGGTTCGTTCTTTACAACTATCAAAAAAAAGATCAAATGCTTCAATCGAACATTTCCAAGAACTACTAATGGATATATCAATTAAAGTCATTGGCGAACATTTGGTAAATATATCAAATAATTCATCCCCTATATCATTAACAAAGATGTTCAAACTATCAAATGTTATCTCTTCTAATTGTCTACATTTTGTTAATAATGATTTTACGTGAATAAAATCTTTAGGTTCAAGATATGTGTTTAACTTTTCAATTTTAGGACAATTTTTAGCAATTGCTTTAATTAACATTCCTGTATTTTGAGCAATTCTATTGGTAGTATCAATATGAATACGTGTAATATCTCCCTTCGTTTTATCAATTAACATTGCTAGCTCTTTAAAACATGATAACCCCATAACACTAAGAGATTGAAGTTTCGGAAATTCTGAAATTGCAAGATGTTGTTGGAATACATTTACTTTTGGATTAATAAATTTATGATTTTCATCATTATAAATCGATAATTGTGTTAGATTAATGAGTGATACTAGGAATGAAGGTGGAATTGTGCTAATTAAATTCAAGTAAAGAATATTTATCGTATTGCCCTTTCTTGCTAAAACTTTGCTTAATTCTTCGCAGTTTCCTTTCCTAGTATAAAGTTGTACTTTTTTTAAGTTCTTTTGAGCATCAATTAAAGAGATTAATCCGGGAAGATCATAAGAACAATAACGAACTTCTAAAAACTCTAAATCTTTACAAATTTGTGCCATCTCATAAAGAGATTTGGAATTGACATAATTAAGATTAATAGTTAAACTATTCAATTGAGAAAAACATGTTGATGCTCCTGGAAATGATGTTAAAGGTTGTGAAGTTTGCCATATTAATACTTTAACATTCATAATTTGACTAACAAATAATTTGTAAATTTCTCGTTCAAAACAATTTATTCTATCATCATTGGGGTAACGTAACGCAACACCTGTAATTTTATTCACAACTTCAAAATTTGGAAACTCACAAAAACTAATATAATTAAATAATGGAGGTTTTGAAAGAATTGTTGTGGGTAATTTAATATTATTATCGAATAAAAGTTGTTTTGATGAAGTTGGTAAACAAGAAAGTATTGTATTTACCGTTTTCATGAAAAAAATTGATTTTTCTATATTATACCATGAATATGTTTTCCATAAGATAGGAACTACTACTTTACACCATTCCTTATTAACTAAAAGACATGAATGTAATGATTTTTTATCTTTCAATTCTTTGAAAATAAATAAAAGACAGTCTGTGTTTAACATTTTACATTTAACGATAAAAAAAAAAAAGAAAAAGAAAAATTTTTATTTGGTACATATTTATGTTTTATGTCGCACAAGAATTACGCCCTGGAAGCTGGAAGTCCGGATGAATGTATAAATGGATAAATGCGGTTAGCAAATCGGGATAATCACTAGACATATAAATAGGTAACAATAGAGAGTGCATGAATTGAACCAAAATAATGTGCATATCATTCATATCATTCCTTTTTCTGATAATGCCAGGCGGCATTATATAATTCTGGCACGGTAAATGAGTGCCGATCTCTTGGTAACTTTTTATGTATTGCTCAGGGTCTCGTGAATTGAAATTCAAATTTGATTGGCTCATCGATACAACGAAAATGTATCTTTGAAAGTTGGTGGAAGAACTTAAAAAAAGACTGAAACGGAATGTTTATGTAATGTTTTCTGGTGAAATGTTTTTCTGGTTTTTTTTTTCTTTCGTTTTCTTCGTTTGCTTGAAGTTGCTTTAGTTTAGCGCAGTCATTTTAGTACGGGCAATAGGTTATTTTGAAGCGTATCGAAGGATACTGCATGATTCTATTGATGCTTATTCGTTCAACTTGCTTCACATCCTTTGTTCAATATATTAGTGTCTAAATAAATAAATACGTTTGACCCTATCGTTTTGTTTGTTTTATAAGTTTAGCAATTTGGCGTTTCTTTATAAATATTAGAAAAGCGAGAATTTGTTACTATGTTTAGCTTGCACGATGAAGATAATATAAAATGAGTAAACTTAAAATTTTATTTTCTTTAAATAATTGATAAATATTATAATATTATATTTATTAATTATATTTGTATGAGTTAGTGCGGTCATCAGTTTTTTAAACGGATCGGATTTATGGGTAAACGATAACATCTTCACGTTAGACTAAAGTTACTGATTAGGATTTCTCCAGTAGCGACTACATGACTATTTTTTCATCATTCGGTACGAGCCACTTAAGCTTAGTTCTAGTCAAAATATCTTTGTTCTGCACTAGGAAGTACTTGCAAACCATCTCTGTTGCTTCTACTGATACATTCACATTGTCAGCAAATTAGAGCATCAATCATTTTCAGTATAAGCTTTATCTACAAGAAATTGAGATATATACCATTCCCATTGGTCTAAAGAACACGTTTAATTTGGAGTTGATCTTGCGAAACATGTTCCACATATCAATCATCTGTTAAATAATAAGTTAGTGTTTTCCTTGAGAAAAATATTTGATTCTCGACCAAAGATTTGGCAGATTAATGAATTGACTTACTTGAAGAACAAAATTGACGCAACGGTTCAGGTACGAATTTGTCAATTTTAAGAATGTCAATTATATTTGGAGCGGAAGTTGTACGGAACGGTCACTAAAGTTTCCAACCCTCTTCTATTCTATTTCTTTATAGGAGACTCTGCAAAGCGCAACGTGACGGAAATACTGACTTTGTACATTTTTTCCTTACCGTTATCCTTGATATAATTAAATAATTAAATATATTTCAACTGCAATTACGCGTTCGCTTGCGTTGATTAAGTTTCAACTCCCGTAGTATTTATTGGGCAGTTTGAGTATAAGAAACAGGAAAGAGAAGCATGAATATAAGCAAAAAAATGATACAATGTAGATAAAAAGATTGAAAGCAATGAATATATTGATGACAGTAAATTTCTTAAGACAAAACATTAAGAGACACACACCTGATGACTATGATAATATAAAGTTGCTGTTTTTTATGTTTTATCGCCTTTGTTTTAAATATTCATGGCATAGGATTACCATGATTTTTAGTTCAACGATTTAATTCTTAGATTTGATCTAACGCCACAAATTACGTAATATTTGCTAATGACAATATAAAATAGACTTTAATAAATTTATTCAAAAGATAAAAAAAAATAATATTTAAAATTGATTATTGAATAATAAAATTAGTATTTCGGTTGTAAAAAAAATTATAAAGCATTTTTATTTTTAAGTAAACCCGTTACGATGACCACGATATGGAATAGTTTAATAAAATCACATTGATTAGATAATTGATTGATTATTATAACAATACGATTCTCGTTAATGACATCTTATGAATATAACTTATTTTTAGAAATATCAATTTATTTTCAATTGAAATTTACGTAACCTTCTAAATCAAATCTAAATCAAACTGATTAACCTGATTTAAGCGCAGTTACGCAGTTAATATTATACGTATTTACTTTATTTATAGAATTATAGCGTATAGAAGGTTCCAGAATTAGTATAACTCTTGAGAATATTTTATTTTTAGCACGAAACAATATGTGAATCAATTTAATTAAGATGATTAATAAACCATGATATAATTAAGAACGGAAAATTTCGTGATCATTTTAAGACTGAATAAAAAAAAATATGATTAGTTTATTTTCTATAAATAAATAATTTTTAGTCGAAAATATTAATAATTCAGAATTTTTTTTTAGCCCTTCAAAATATTATTTAAACACGTAAAATTCTCCCTTCTTAATTTTTCAATTCACTTGAAAACTTCAACAAAAAAAAAATATTTATCAAGATGAAATACTTGCAATTAACCCTTTTCCTTTTAACTCTTCTTATTATTTTGGTCAACGCTGGTATATTAACATTTATATTTTCCATATTTATTTCGATTATAATTATTTTGATATTTTCCTAAAAATATATATATAATATATTATTATTTTTTTTTTTTTATAACGAAAGGTCCTGTAAAACGTGAAGCTGAAGCCGAATATAAGCCGTATTGTTATTATGAAGATTATAAGAAATATTGTCCTTATAAGCATCACCCTTACAAAAAAGAAACTGCAAAAGCGATCGCTGAATCAGATTTGTCCGATGTAGTCACCGAAAGAGCAGCATCTTGTAAGATTTAAAATCTACCTTTGATGATGATTTTAAACCGACTTTCTGGCTTAATATTTTTTCTTTTGTCTTTAGATCAACTCCATGACCGCGGATACAAAAACGACCATCACGGCCATCACGACCATTATGACCACTATGACTATCATCATGGTCATCATGGCCATCATGACTAATTCTCATGTACCGGGAAAGATTTAGCAATTGAAAAAGAAAAAAAAAAAATTATATACGATTTTCAATTTTTTAAATGCTTAAATTTTATTCTTTTTTCTTAATTGATAATTAATAAATATTAACGTATCGTGCTGTATTTGCTAATATCAAGTTAATATGTTTTATGAAATAATTAATACGAAAATTATCTAATCCGTTATGTTTAATATTATTTTCAAATAAATTCTATCATCTTCCTATTAAAAAAAAAAAATAAAGATATAAATTTGTTAATGAATCTGAAAAATGAGATATTTAACGCACATGTACTGTATCTTAATATACGTAAAAAAATACGTAAATAAAAAAGTAATCTGATCTAACCAAAGTAATCTGAGCAAAACGTTAAAATAAACATAATTAAATAATCAGAGAACTTTCTTCGAAAAGAAAAGTTTCACGCTAAAACGAAATCTGTTCAAGTTGTCTTAACGTTAGTAATAAACAGTAAAAATTGGTCATCGTTTGCTGCGCTAATCACGTCACACAGATCACATAAATAAACTCAAAATAAATAGAAGTCAAATTTAGAAATAAGAAAAATTACAAAAAAGGAAAAGATCTACATTATATAACATTTAGTAAAGAACACGATCGAACTATACTATAATATTATTAGGGACTTAAGATTTTATGTTCAAAAGAACTATCTACAATCCTGTTCACCCAAATAGGTTCACTAAACTATCCGCATAACTAATACTGTTTGTATGGACTTCGGTAATGTTATATAAAAAACCCACCACAACTCCTTTAACTACTACTACAACATCAAAGATAATAAAAATAATGCTACGGAACACTACCGTAATCAAGAATATTATAGTAATCTATTGTATTACCCCAAAATAAATATGACTTTGAAGATTTTGTAGATTAAAGTATTTCTTATTTTTTGATTTACGCGTTTTATCAATAAACTGCTCTTTACCAAAATGTTTTTTTTAACATTTTTATCAATTCTCAAACCTCTATCAGTTTATTACACATTTATCCAAAATTTCATTCCTAAAATTATATGACAAAATTTCAACTTTTGATTTCGTAGATAATAATTCTTTACAGAAACTTTTAAAATCGAAACCATATATTGACCATATCGAAAATTTATCGTGTAAATTTTAATCAAGATTTGGTCACGATTTAGTATCATAAAGTTATAATTTAGTATCGAAGTCGTTACTGCACATTAAGGCGATCGTCAGCTGATTTGATCGAAATTGTAAAAATGGGTTATTGAGACTTGTACATAAATTGTAAAAGTGTGTTTTCGAATTTGTAAATAAATAGTAAACTATTATTAAATATTTATTAAATTGTACATTTTAAAATTGTGAAGTTTTAGAAAATAAATTCGTAAATAAATAGTAAACTATTATTAAATATTTATTAAATTGTTCATTTTGAAATTGTGGAGTTTCAGAAAATAAATAGAAAAATACATATTTCGCACATGAATTATATCTAAGATTGTGGCTACCCTCAATATTTCATCATTAAACTACTAAAAGACTTTTTGCCAGTCTTTCATTTGTAACCTAATTGTATTTCAAAAACATGCATCAATTATGTCTTTCACGTTAAATTTTATTGATTCTTACTGGTTCTTATGTTAGAGGATAGTGATATAACTTGGTTATACAAGTCCAAATTCAAAAAAGATCTGAAAGAGTCACCTAAAAAAAAGTGCAGAATGTTAACAAACGTTTTGTGAAAAACATTAAAAGCATTAAATTAATTAAAAAGAGGTCAATACTTCACCAAGATATCACACGTCCAGTGTCTGACCATTGCCCAGGTCATACTTTGAATTCAATACTTTTAAGAATACCACTACCTAAAAAGAGAGAAAAACAAACTGTTAATAAAGTTCGTTAAAAAAAAATCTGTGTTCAAAGAGACTCCCGGCATTCCCCACCAGAAATCCCACACATTCTCAAGTCGTCTAAAAAAAAGAAATAAACCATTAGCATAAACCATTAGCATTAGCAATCATTAGCAATCATTTCAATAAAAAAAGGATAAATTAAAAAACTTGGACTGATTTCTACCAATCTATGCAAATAGCAACAATGCAACATATCACATTCTCATACATCTAGACCTGTCTAAAAAAAAGAAGAATTTGTTGAAAGAAACAAATTGAAAAAATGTGACTGACCCACAAAAATCCTACGCGTTTTTGACACTTTTGGCTCAATCAGTTAGTTTTGTTAGGCTTTGTGATAAACCTTGAGTGATTTATCTTCTTTATTGCGCATGATTCATCTAAAAGACAAAATGTTAGCAATGTTTTCCCTATAAAAAAATTGGATACGTTTTTTATAAAGTTTTTATACGATTTTTTTCCTTAGAAATAACGTATCGTAATAGGATACGGAAAAATGCACAATTCCGTATCACTAAAAATATGGTTTTGATACGGAATTTGCATGGGATTCATATGGAATTTACATGATTTGATCACTGATTTTATCACGAAATTTATACAATTTGGTCACTGAATTTACTATTTGTATTGCAGTTTACTATAATTGTATTTACATAAATCTAATTTTACTTTATTAAAATAAATAAAAAATAAACAATAAACAAAATACAAATACGTTATGAAAATTCCCTCTTTATTAAACCACCTATTGCAACCAAAATTATCTATATCATTTGGAGTAGTCAAACAACCTAAAAAAACAAACATAAGAACGTCTAACTTAATTGGAAACAAAAACCCCCCTCGTATAGTATCTGCAATCATCCAAGTCACCAAAGGTTAGCATTCTTACAAAAAAAGAAAGAGAACTCCAGAATGTCTGACCTACATAAAAGTGAAGCGTCTGATGAAAAAGAAACCAACACAACAAAATAAATCCAAAACTGACCCACAAAAAAAGAAGACTCTGAAGCAACAAAACTGAAACAACCTACAAAAAGAAAAGAATCTGAACCTAACTTTTGAAAAAAAAAGAAAATTTGAACTGACCTAAAAAAAGAAAAAATCCTGAACCATCCTACAAAAAAGAAAGGACTCCCAAACTGATCTACAAAAAAGAAAAAAGAAACTGAATCTTCTCACAAAAAAAAATCTGCTGGCCTATGAATAAAAAAAAGGATAAATATAAATAAAAAAGAAGGGGGGGATAAAGAATAAATTAAAAAAAAATATTTTTTTAAAAGAGGGTAACGGAAAGTTAAAAAAATTTTTTTTTTTAAAGGGAGGACGTCAAAGTTAGGATAATAAAAAATTTTTATAAAGAGGAAATAGAAATAGGAAAGAAGAAAATTTTTTTTAAAAAAAAAAGATGAGTGGGAAATAAAGAATAAAATCAAAAAAAATTTTTTTTTTAAAGGAGTGATGAAAAAAAATTTTTTTAAAGTGAGGTACGAAAAAAAAATATTTTTTTTTAAAAGGGGATGACGAAGAAAGAAGAAATTTTAGAAAAAATAACAAAAATAAAACAAGAGAAAAGTTAAAGGAAAGACAGAAAGGAAGATCGGAAGATCAAGCTCATCAAAGTAAGGGTTTATATAAAAAACAAAAAACGTATCATAACAAAACAATAAACAATCACATGATCTCATGTTATGATATCTAAAAATATTAAGTTTAAAAATTCCGTATACATTCCGTATGATTAATTTTTTCCGTATACATTAGTTTTTTTAAAAAATGTTCAAAAATGAATTGCTTATTGAATATACGGAATTTGTATACGGAATCTATAGAAACGTACTGTACATAAAATGTATACAAAACGTATCCTTTCTGTATACATATTTCTTATAGGGTTTGTTAAAAAACAATTAAAAACAATTAAACAAAAGTTGATTCTTTACCGAGATCCTATACGTTCAGACCCAAAAACAAGCTGTCTAAAAAAAACTAGATTTATATATTTTTAAAATTTTTTAATCTAATAATTTAAACACGATTCTAATTATAGTAATTTTAATGCACATTTTACTGATAATGATATTGATTGACCTACTGTATTTTTCAAAATTCAATAAAGTATCTATATACTGTAGTATAATTGTACTAACAAATAATATTTTGGTGTGACAACGCTTTTTTTTTGTGAAACAAGTATTTATTTGGGAATTATAAAAAAGGAAATTTCTTACTTAATAATCCGTGATTTTTGTGATCATCAGCTGACTTTTTGGACACTTTATTGGTTTGACCTAAATAAAAATAATTTGTCAATCGCTGCTGTGCAACTGTAATACGTTTAAAAGGCATCTTTTTTTTTTAAAAAAAAAAAAATCTTTTTTATTCTGTCTAGACATAAAATTGAAGTCACATTTATTAATCCAATTATGGAAGAATTTATGCTTGCTGATGATATATTTGAGCAAATAAAAGATTTTTACTATCTTGACCTAACTGAAGAACAAAGTTTGTTAATTGATAAGTTAATATTAAATGAAGAACTAAAAAAACGTTACAAACAGTATGGTTTATGCAAAGGATGTAAGCAGCTTAATACTGGTGATTATTGGTGTAATCCATGTAATTCTAAGAATTTACAACAAAATTTCAAAAATTGGACTTGTGGAAATCATGAAGTTGATAAGTTTATTCAAAAAACACATCTTAAAGCTAAAAATTTTGATGAAGTTTTAGAATGGATTGAATATGATAGATTTGAAAATATTGAATACTTGACAAAAGGAGGATTTGGAACTATTTATAAAGCAATTTGGAAAGATGGATATATAAAAAGTTGGGATTTTGAGAATAATAAATGGACAAGAAGTAAATATTATTGTAGGAAATATGAGAATTTTCCAGTTATTTTAAAATGTTTACTTGATTCTCAAGATATTACATCCGATTTTTTAAGAGAAGTAAATTACTGATTTTTATATAATTTCAAGATATTGTCCCATTATAAATGTTAAACTGTCTATTAATTATTGTTATTATGGATTCTTTTTAGATTAAATCATATAATATGTTTTCTTCACAAAACATAGTATGGTGTTATGGCATTACTAAAGATCCAGAATCTGGAAATTTTATGATAGTAATGGGATGTGCAAAAGATGGTAGTTTAAGACAACATTTAAATAATAGTTTTAATTCAACAAAATGGGATGAAAAGTTGAATATTTTACAAAATATTGCACAAGGCCTCTCTTGCATTCATGAAAAAGGGTTAATTCATCGTGATCTTCATTGTGGTAATATATTAAAAGATAGCTACTATACTTTCATTACTGATTTAGGATTATGTCAACCAGCAAATGTAAAATCATCCCAAAATGAATGTAAAGAACTATATGGAGTATTACCCTATGTAGCACCAGAAGTTTTAAGAGGAAAAGGATATACTCAGGAAAGTGATATATATGGATTTGGAATTATTGCATATGAAGTCTGTACAGGGCTTCCTCCTTACCATGATATTGTTCATGATAAATTTTTAGCTGTTAGCGTTTGTCAAGGACTTAGGCCAAAATTAAATTATAAAATTCCTCAATTAATTCTAAACATAATTAAACAATGTTGGGATGTTGATCCTTTAAAACGACCTAAAGCTAATGAATTATACGATTCATTATGCAATTTATGGAAAGATACATCACATTTTTTTAGTGGTAATACTGAAACTGAAATTAAAAAGCAAATTGAAGAAGCAGAAAAGATTAATGAAAGGTTGTCATCATCATCATCATTATATACTGGACCTACTCTTTCATATACTACAAATCCTCAAGCAGTTTACACGAGTAGGCTTTTAGATTTTAAAAATCTTCCAGAACCAAAAAATGCTATTGATAACAAGGATGATGATAATTCATTTGAAGAATATTCAGGTATATATATATATATATAATTAATTTCCTAATTTACTTTACAAAAGCATTCTTTAACTATTTATTTGATGTGTATAATTATTTTTTTACATTATAGAATCAATAGAAGCAATAGATTTTACCAAACTAGACCTAGGTACTTATATACATTAACCTTTTATATGATTCATTTTATTAATATATTATTTAATAATTTATTTTTCACTTATAGATAAAAGCAGCTGAATAAAAGAAAGGAAAGGTATAAATTTCTTTATTATTTACTATTTATTTTCTTTAACATTACTACAATATAATATTTTATTGGAATGTATTTTTATGATTTATGATTAAATAAAGTATTATTTAGAATGAATTGTATGTAATATGTTACAAAGATGTAACAAAGTAAAAAATTACATTGTACTTATGTTAATCTTATTATAAAGTTATCCAACTCAAAGGGAGGTTAAAAACCTATTATGACCTGGCCCAGATTTTTAGTTCAGGTGTCAGGTACCCGATCTGAGCTGATCCAATTTGGAGCTCTAAATTTAGATATTTAACGATTGAACATGGTGATTAATCATTAAATTAAGTAAAACCACTAAGGAAAGTAAACCATTGAGAAGAACAATATATTAATAAATTTGAAACGAATATAGAAAATTCGTTTAACGTGTTCAAATTGGAACCTGTAGCAATTGTAGCGGTGGTAATTATAATTCCTGTATATTATGGTCTCAAAATAATTTACGTCATCTCAAAATTGAAATGCACTCAGGTTTTGTGGGCGCGGTTTGTGTCGATCTTCACCATCTAAGGAACAAGTGACATTTAAGTGTCACATAATCACGTGCAGCCACGAGTTCAAAAACATTAAGTATCTGAGGGACTTAGTGTCAAAATTTTATTTGTCACCCCGTGATACAAAAAACTGGGTGCAATTGAAATACAAAATATAAATTCTCTTTTCGGCAAATTTCATTTTTTTGGATGAAAATTCAGGATATGAATCAAACTTTCAAACTTTCATCTTAAAAATTCCTTCATTAATCTACATAGAGTATCAACATCTTATTTACAATTTGATGAATACATTATTTAATATTTTCTTAATATATCGAAAAAATTTTTAAAAGCCTTAAGAATATTCTATAGATCCTGTGTTACATCATATATATTACATATGTTTTTTCAATTTTTTTGTCACCACATTTTTAAGAGAGCTCACTAATAATTTAAATGAAAATTTAAGATTAAAATGTAGTAATGTTGTTATTTTGGAATTTTTTTTATTGTCTACAATATTTTGTAAATAGGTTGATTCAGATGTTCACGTAATCGTCGCCAGGAATTAAACTTAGATTATATCGTTGACCTCCTTAACTTTTTACAATAACAAGGAATTAAATTTAAGGAGTGATAAATAATTGTCTAATAAGTAAAAATATTACTGGGTTACAATTGCCATCACCATTTTCCCCCTAGGCACAGTATAAACAAAATACTATCATTATCATGTACTTTTAGTTACATTCGAATAAAAAAATCAATTTTCTTAATTTTTTTAATTTAATTTGAGCGCATTGAAATCCTTGTTTAGCAGTTTTCTCATACCAATAAATATCTTTCTACTACTTGATTTATGGTTGGGCGTTTATCTGGCAACATTCTAAAAAAAGTACATTGTAATAATGAGAGTTTGTTGAAAATTTTATTTTCTAAATAAATATATTACATACCAGTATAAATTTCAACATAATCTTTAGGTGTATCGGGAACGGTTCTTCTCTAAGACCTGTGAAATTTCTAAAGCAAAATCAATATCATAGTACTGTTCGCTTTTATAATAGAAAGGAGTTTGAATACTAGATATCTCCCAGAATAATACACCAACACTATAGATATCACTTTTTCATTTAACGGAATATTTGTGTTGAGGTTGATTTTTTCTTTGTCCATTAAATATTTTTGGATCAACATAAAGAATTATTCCAAAAAGTTTTGATTGTGTGTTGGATGATGATTCAATTCTCTTCGACAACCCAAAGTCGGATAATTTGATAATATTCCGATGAACCGATACATTACCCGAGTGCTATAAATGCGTTATGATATTAAAAAATATGGAAGAAAAATTTTATAATAATACTTTTATAATTAATTAAATAAATTACCAAATCACGATGCACTATTCCTTCATTATGTAAACATGACACGGCACAGGTTAATTGGTATGCAAAGTTATATTTATCGTTCCATGTAAGATTATTGAAGTTTTCCTTTAAATAATCTTTAAGAGAACCAGAATCAGCATGCTCCATCACTAGCAAATAATTATTTGATTGAGAATTTTGGTTTTCTAATTATAAATAATAAAATAAAAAGAAATAATCATTTTTTTTTTATTAAAATATAATTTATAAATTACATATTAAACATACAGAAATATAATAAATTTACTATACCTGGATCAAATTTTGCAATTCCATAGAATTTAATAATGTTATTATGTAATTGTATATCACGTTGAAGTTTAAGCTAGAATATCAATATTATAAATACTATAAACTTTAAATGAACAAAATTTCATATTATGAATATTAACATATCGGCTGATCAGAAAAGCCTCCCATAATTTTATATGCTAATGACATTAAGTAACCCATCAGTTATATAATGAACCCATCAACTGAGCTTAAATATTAATTGGCTTGATTTTTCCAATCAGCCGATATGAAATGTTTATTATTTTGACTATCTCATAATTTATACCTCATGAACGATTTCTTTTGCAGTGACGTCATCAATATTAAAAAAAGATTTCAACGCAAAATATTGAGAATTTTTCCAACTCGCACGATAAACTTTTCTGAATCCTCCAATTCCAACTTTTTGGATATTACCAAAATGTTTTTGTTCATAAAGTCTATAATATTTCTCTAGAAATAGCTTCTTCAATCCAATTCACCCATTTACAGTATTTGTGTTTTTCATTTTGATATTCTTAGTAATCGTAAGTAAAAAAAAAATTAATGAAAATTCTATATGTGGACTTTAATAGTTTGGTAATGTTATACATACACAATAGTAGCACAATCAAAGCCACCGTGTGTAACAATATTCGTATTTAAAATCGTTGCGGTCACGTGGTGTCAAGTTTAGTAAATTATTATGAATATTATTTCATTAACGTGATAGTGAAGACACGTAATTCCTTAAATAAATAATTAACAGTTCATAAATACGTTGATCTGAATTAATTGTTGAAATAGATGTATAATAAAACTTGAGATTATATATCAAATATCAAGTATGTCTTACAAGATTAATTTGAACGTTTATTAATGAATTTTATTTTTTTTATATAGAGCAACTTTAAGTATTAAAACACATTCATATAATTCTAAAATATTACTTGATAATTCACTGACATTTCGTCCTTAATTCTGTTTCTATCTAAAAAAAATTATTTGTAACCTTTATATTATTTTATTTTTAAAGCTCATCGAAAGTGTTATCCTCTCAATGTTTTTCTCGATAAGAAAAATTAAAAAGATGCGAAAAACATCACCCTAGTGATATACGGTAAATATGTACATTGAAAGAAAATTCTGATTTATATTTTTTTGTTTGCAATTATAGTTTACTATATTAGTATATGGAAAATTATGATTACATAAGAATAATACAACTATATTTACAGTATAACTACTATATGAGTCATCTTTATTACAAATTAGTATAAAAAAATTTTTTCTGTACTCGGACGGACTTTTAAAAATAAATTTTGATTTCCTGTACTAATAATTTACATCGTAACATCATTGTGACCAAATTTGCAATAAAAAAAATAATCAGTCGACATTATTATCTTTCAACCAAATAGAAGTATATAATCAAAAAAAAGGGAAAATGCAAGGGTGAATAAGGATGACGTAAGCAAAGGAAGGAATATTACTATCAAATCACGAATTTCCTTCGCTATGCTCCGGACAATTATTCTTAAAAGCTATACTATGAACTATTGGTGTGAGTCAGTTTTTGTCTTACCGGTGGATACAACCTTAAATACTTTGTAAGACAGAATAAAATTTTCAAAAAAAAAAAAAATTATTTTGATAATTCGATCTTGTCATTTCAATAAAAAGAAAACAATTTCATCTCAAAAATATATTTACTATAAATAGATAATTAAAATAATTTACTCTATTTATTCTTCATAATTAAAAACGTCCAAAAGTAATTTTTCCAAGTCGATATCCAATTGTGACTAGTGTTTCTATCCGTAACAGTTTTATCCGGTATCCAGTACGGCTAATTTAGGGTGGAACTGCAGAATAATAATATTAATTCCGGTCGAATTTATAGTCCATTCAGAGCTGAGGCTTATAATATTTTTTTTTTCAGCCATAATCTCATTTAATTACGTAATGACAAATCCTATATAAATTCTCATCATCGGCCGTATCATGTTTAAGGAAAAAAATTTATTTTATTTGGTCGTGTGATGACGAGTTTGTCCGATCATAATATTTAAGAAATAAATTTATTCATTTATTAATGTTCATATTTAGATAATAAACTATGAAATAGCATAATTTATATACAGTAAATTATAAAGCCACATGAAAGAATAGAAATAATAGTACTAATATACATCAGAAAATGTATGTTGTCTCAAATAAAAAGAAAGTTATAGGTAGTTGAAAAGAACAAACAAAATCTTTAATCAATGGAGATATTTAAAAAAACGATACAACAATACCACATTTCTCATCGTCCTTAAAACGCAATTTGCTAAAGCTCAAAAATCAATCGTCAGCATCAGCACCTGTTATAATTGAGAATCTTTACAATCTATTAACGTTAAGAATGTAACAAAGTTAGTGATTATAGGATTAATTATTCGATAATAAAAGCCTTTAAACAAAGTACTTTTGTTAAATTAAGTATAAAGAAATAATAATAGGTGAATTAGTAATAGGTTTTGACAAATCAAAACTTATACATACTGTTAATTTATTTGGAAGGAGAGATGTATTATTAATAATTATATAATATTTTGACCAAAAGACAAAACTGAAAGTATAGATTTTAAATCACATTTCATCTAATTATTATTTATTAGAAATTCACTGATTAAGCTGACTAAATTCTATACTTGCCGTCGGAATTAATTACGGCATATGAAGCTTATACCGTAATATATTAAATCGCCGTAATGCCGTAGATAATTTGTAATCCATAAATCTATAATGCTGATCTTGAAATATTTAAATGGTAAAATCCATATTTCGTAATGTCGTAATTTCAATTCGGCAATTCCGACGGCACCTATACCAAATCCAATATGATAGTGACACTTTCCCACAAATCAGCGGTGAGATGTCTCATAAAGAAAAGATTAAAATAATAAAGTTAGCTACATCATCCAGTATCCAATTTGCATAAAAAGAAATCTATCCCGTTCATTATTTTAACTTTTTTTTAAATCAAATTTAATCCTCTTGTTAAAAGAAAAAAATTCATTAAATAACTTAGAAACATTGAAATAACTTGTGATATGTGAGTTAACTGCAAAAAATTCATATATAATTTTGGTTCTCCTAACAGTTAAGTAATGCTCTTTATATGAACCCATTCAAGTTTCAAATAATTTATTTTTTAAAATAATTTTCTCACATAATTTGTTAATTTTTATTTGACGCCACGCCAGATTCCCATTTTGACTCGTGGATCACGAATTAATTTTTTTATTAGTTTTATAATATCCAAGTTATAAATAATATATATATATATACTTAATAATAATTAACTAATAAAACAAATATAGAACTTTTACATAATAATATGGAGGATCTTCAACAGATACATCTATTCCTTATCAAATATATAGTACTATCTTAAACATAGTAAGGGAGTCATTTTTTTAAACTTCAATAATCGGCACCAACATAACAATTTCTTGGTCTAATTTCAACTAATAAACTGAGACATCTAACTAAACCGGGATCACTGGTAACTTTAATAGGAGCATTCATATCTACTAAATCAACTTCATATTTTCTAAAAATTAAAGCCGTCAAACAAACTAATTCAATCATTGATAACTTTCTTCCTGGACAAAATCTTGATCCACCACCAAACATAAGAAAAGAATTCTTATTTGGCTCAAAATTTTCAACCATCCATCTATCAGGGTTAAATTTATTAGGTTCTTCCCAATCATCATCATTATTTTGAATAACTTTAGAATTAATTACAAACAATGTGCCAGCTGGCCAATGATATTCCGCTGTTTCGCTAGGGTTATCAATATATCTTGTAATCAAGTGTGTTACTGGAAAAATGCGAGCTACTTCCTTTACAATTGCTTCACAATAACTTAAACTATAAAAATCATCTTTAGTAATTGGTCTTATTTTATCACCTTGGAATATACTATCAATTTCTTCTAGTAGTTTCTTTTTCACATCTGGATTATGTGCAATATAATAAACAATGAATGAAAGCATATTCCCAATCTATATTTGAAATAAAAAAAAAGGAATGTTTAAATTTACTTCAAGTTAAAGTACATTGCATTTATGTTTAAATTTCAATGACTAAAATAATATAATAACCTAAACATATAATTTCTCTAATAAAATTTACTTACTTTCAAAGCTGCACTATTAATTGCTTCTTGCATATTAGCGCGAATTTCGGCATCAGTCAAAGATCTCATGGCTTCACCAGTTTCGATATAATTATTATCACGAAGAGTATTTTTGATGATCATCGATGTCAACATATCATTCTGTAAGGGTTCATTCAATGATGTATCTTCAATTTCTTGTCTACGACTCTTAATTATTGCATCCAGTGTTTGATTGACATTATCCAAAGTTTGAAGTATACTATTTGCTTTATTTTTAAAAAATGGAATATTATGTCGTATGAAAGGAGGAACTACGAAAAATATTGAATATTCCGTAATTGGTTTATGAAATGTTTGAGACAATTTCACAGCATCTTCAGGATAATCAGCTTTTTCATCACTAAGAGTATTAAAATAAGTTGCCATTGAATAAGATCTTTTACCAGATAACAATTTAATAGTAATATCATTTGTGTAATATTGAAACCATTCAGAAAAATTCAATATATTTTTATTTTCTTTAATAATTTCTTCTTTAAGAAATAATTTACTCCAATAACTTTCTAATTCATTGAAAAGTTTGTTTGTCTGTTCAATAGCTTCATTAGTAAATTTTGGTGACAAAATAGCTTGATTAAAAAAATGACGATTAAACATCCACGATTTATAATCATTATTTAACGTTAATCCTTTTCCTTCACTTCCCAATTCTTTTGTTAGTATTTTGCATTTTGGAATTTTCATTTCATGTGTATTTTTTGATAAAATGTTATCAAGGTATTTTCTTTGACATAAAACTATAGTTCGTATATTTATAGTATAAATCTCATATATGTCACCATATTTCTTGTAACAACAATTAAAAAACATTTCAATATTTCCGATAAACCACAAAATTTGAGGAAAATTACCAACTAATGGGAATGGGAATGGACCAGGTAAAGGATTTTCACGAGTAAAATATTTGTAATAGTAATATGCCACATACGTTAATGTTAAGAATAAAACACAATCATAAATTCCAAAATTCTCAAATAGTCCAAAAATCATCTTATTTAAATTTAACTTTGGCTTAGCGTATTGTTTGATTTAATTGAATCCTTGTAGACGCTGTTACACTGTATTGATATACTTTTTTTTGTTGTTCAGCTTCTTTTTTCAGTATATTTATATATTTTTTTAGTAATTTACAATTATTGGAGAACCGACGAGGTCTGGGGATAGTTTATATTTTTTTAGTAAGCTCAATTATTGGAGAACTGACGAGGTCTGAGGATAGTGAAACTTATGACATTTAAAAAATAACCATCCCATAACCTTCATGACTAAAACTTTAATTTTGATTCAAGATGTGCGATCGTAGTGTTGATCATACATGTGGTTCAATTGCAGATCTTTTTAACATAATATAATTAAGGATGATCCGCCAAGAGAGTTGTGTTACCTTAAAAATGAAATTATATATATGTTCATCGTCTTTAGTGTAATAAACAATTTCCTTTTTACCTAAATGACCCGTTTATTATGTATCTGATTCAGTATCTGGTTCTGATTCAGGTTCAGATTCAGATTAACTGAGGAGGCGTGTAACTTTTTTTACAAATTAAAGTTATTTAAAGTCCTCTGTGGCTGAAAATTTTGGAGTATCGACACGGGATGTCTTATTGGGATCGTCAGAAAAGAATTATTTTATTACCGTTTTGTTTAGGATAATTTTTTTAGATCGTCATAAATCAATGATAGTAAAATTCGGTATGTTGATGACAATCCAAAATCCTAACAAGCCATAATATCGATAATTTTGTGTGTTCTAATAAAATAATTTGTTGCAATATATAATATTTAGTTTAAATGTGTTATAATTTTTGTCGGGATTTTGAAATGATTTTCGAGATTTGCAATGATCATTGGCATTTACTACGCATTGTTCATTCAAGCATTATTTATTTCAATGCTAGATTATTTTTACGGAACTACATGATGTCAGGTTTTTACTTATATTCTACTTGTAATTAATATACAATAGATTTGAGTAGGCATTTTATTCAATCTTGGAATTTGTGATGAGTTAATTTTTTTTTTACTTTTAAGCATTTTAGATGCAATATCGTTCTGTCCTGCAAATCAGATTTTGTATTTAGTTTACGTTTTCATACATAATGAGACCACGACGCGTGGATAAATAATCGTGTGTTTTGAATACAAAATTCGAATTGTCTAACGAAATTTTCATAAATGTGTAAAGTTCATACTTGCTTCGTTTGATAAAAAAATCAAATTATGTTTATTGTGGAATTCAATGCTGCATCATTTCATAAAAATTGTGATAATAAAGGGGATGGTAAAAATTCAAGGTTCAACACAATTAATTGGAGGAACTGGAAGGGATAGTAAAAGCACTACAAATAATTTCGGTTATCGTGATATTTATTGCTATGATTATCAAGGGCCCAGTATGGGATGCCTGTCGCTCTGTCCTATTTCCAATACACGTTACCATAATAATGTATTCCGTCAAAATTTACAATAGAAAATTATGAAGTATTGTTCAATAACAAGTTTTAACGATTTCCATTTTTTAAAAAAGGGTATTACTAGGGCGTCGCAAAGTTTTCATATTAGGGTTGCAGACATTTCTCATGCTAGGGGTAACTACCTTACGGCAAACGTCACAGCAATACGTCATATGTCGTACCCTTGACGCATGATGTAAATCTTGCCATATGATGTACTGTATCTCTTGCACATGACGTATCCCCGTCACGTTGTATGATGAAAACCGATCAAAAATCATTCTTCAAAAAAAAAAAAATTGATAAAATAAATTAATATGCAATATGCGACTTTTTCTTTATTTTTCACTATGAATGATGGATAAAGCAGTTCAGAAGATAATAAAATATTAAAATATGTTTAGAATCGGTCATTTATTTTATTTAATATATATAAATTCATAATTTTCATATCATTACATAAATATTAAACAATAAAATAATTTGAAACGGAAATCTAGGTTAAAGAGAAAACCGGAAATAGTGAAAATAATACATGTATTACGACATATGACGCATAATATGACATATGACATATAGTACATCAAACATCACGGTTAAAAATACCTTAAAGTTAGTATACCTTGACGTAATGACGTAGTAACCTTTCGGTCCTTTCCTTTTTGTATTCTACCCGCAAAAATTACCTTTTTGACCCTCCTCGTGTTTTCATATAGGAGGGTCAAAAAAGGATGTCGTACAGGGTCAAAAAGATAATTTTTGCTAACTATCCTAAGAAATATCTGCAATCCTGATCACCATCAAGGGAGCCCATATGATTTTATTGGATTTTAATTGTGGTATGGTGACCATCTACACTGTATGCTATTTTTATTAATATTATTTTTATATCCTTATTTATTATAATTATATAATTTTTTGACCAAGTCAAATTGAAAGTATAAATTTCATCTACAGCAGTAGTAAACTGGTATTTGGTAAATCCCTTTTGTGCTTGATTAATATTTATTAGAAATCCCCTGATTTTGTATTCATTTTACATCATCTGACTCCAATGATTAAGCTGACTAAATCTAATATGTAGTGGCATTTTTAAATAGCAGTGGAGTGTTCTGTCTCATAAAGAGTAAAACTTTAGAAAATATAAATTCTCTTCATGATCGTTGATCATTTTATTAATCATTAAAAGTTTTCTTTTACAAAAAATCATCCGGTATTCAATTTGCACCAAGAAGAATCTATCCCGTTCATCATTTTACTCTCAATTTTACCATCTTGTTAAAAAAAAAAAATTCATTTAATATAAACTTAAAAATATTAAAATAACATTTTATTTCTGTAAAACAGACATATCTTGATAAACTTATTAATAGTGCTTAATTTCTGGAAATGAATATATATAAACTTAATAACAAATAATATAAATGTAGAGTCTATCACTATAGTTTACGCTTAAATCGCTTAAATTTGATTTTCTGCATAATAATATATATGAAGGATAAGTGTTGTATATAATACATATAGTACTTTCTTAAATATAGTAAGAGAGTCAATTTCTTAGTTTAATTTCAAACAATAATTCGTCACCAGCAGCTATAATAAAAGAAAATCAATTTCTTGGTCTAATTTCAACTAATAAATTGAGACATTTGATTATACAGCCGTCACTGGTAATTTTAATAGGAGAATTCTTATCTACTAAATTAATTTCATATTTTCTAAACATTAAAGCCGTAAGACAAACTAATACAATCATTGATAATTTTCTTACTGGACATAATCTTAATCCTCCACCAAACATAAGAAAGGAATTCTTATTTGGCTCAAAATTTTCAATTAAGGATTAAATTTATTAGGTTCTTCCCAATCATCATTATCTGTATGAATAGCTTTAACGTTAATTGCAAACAATGTGTCAGCTGGTCAATGATATTCCGCTGTTTCGTGGGTTTATCAATATATCTTGTAAACGAGTGTATTACTGGGAACATGCGAGCTGCTTCCTTTACAATCGCTTCACAATAGATAGCTTAAGCTATAAAAATCATCTTTAGTTATTGGTCATATTTTATCACCTTGGAATATACTATCAATTTCTTTTAGCAACTTATTTTTCACATCTGGATTATGTTCAATATAATAGACAATGAATGAAAGTAAATTCCCAGTCTATATTTGAAATAAATAATAAGGATTGTTTAAATTAATTTCAAGTTAAAGCACATTGCATTCATGTTAAAATTTCAATGACTAAATAATATATAATATTAAACATAAAATTTTCCTAAAAAAATTTACTTACTTTATAAGTTCCAGTACAAATTGCTTCTTGCATATTAGCGCGAATTTTGGCATCAGTCAAAGATCTCACGAATTGTATTTTTGATAATCATCGATGTCAACATATCATGCGATAAAGGTTCAAAGGTTCATTCAATGGTGTATGTTCAATTTCTTGTCTTCGACTCTTAATCATTGCATCCAATGTTTGATTAATATAATCCAAGTCTTGTAATACTTCATCTGTTATCTTTCTAACAAATGGAAAATTATATCGTATGAAAGAAGGAACTACAGCAAATAATGCATATCCCACAGTAACTAATTTACGAAATGCTAGAAATAATTTCACAGAATCTTTAGGATAATCAGTTTTTTCATCACTAAGAGCATCAAAATAAGCTGCCATTGAATAAGATCTTTTACCAGTTAACAATTTAATAATAATATCATTTGTGTAATGATAAGACCATTCAGAATAATTTAATTTATTTTTATGTTCTTGAATAATTTCTTTCTTAAGAAATAATTTACTCCAATAACTTTCTAATTCATTGAAAAGTTTGTTTGTCTGATCAATAGCTTCATTAGTAAATTTTGGTGACAAAATAGCTTGATTAAAAAAATGATTATTAAACATCCACGATTTATAATCATTATTGAACGCTAATCCTTTCCGTAAACTCCCAATTTTTCTGTTCCTTCGCATTTGGGAAATTTCATTCCATGTGTATTTTTTGATAAAATGTTCTCAAGGTATTTTCTTCGACATAAAACTACAGTTCGTATATTTACACTATAAGTCTCATATATGTCACCATATTTCTCGCAACAATAAATATAAAACATATGGATATTTCCACCAAACCACAAAATTTGAGGAAAATTACCAAGGAATGGGAATGGGAGTGGACCAGGTAAAGAATTGACACGAGTAAAATATTTGTAATAGAAATATGTCACATACATCATTAACATTGCAGTTAAGAATAAAACACAATTATAAATTCCAATATTCTTAAATAGTCCAAATATCATTTTATTGTTTGTCATATATTTTATTTAAAAAGTTAATATAAATTCTTTTATTTTGCATAATTTTTTTTCTAAATATTTAAATCAAAAACTTTTAAGATGACATATAAATCATTACATCCAATTATAAAATTTAATTTAGGTTTAGCTTAATGTTCTAATTGATTTTTTGTAGGCGCTGTTGCACCAAGGTATGATATACTTTTTTGTTTACTTGTTCAGTTTCTTTTTTTCAGGTATAGTAATCTATAATTATTGGAGAACCGACGAGGTCTGAGGATGGTGAAATTTTTGACATTTAAAAAATAACCATCACATTATCTTCATGAACTAATCTGATTCAAGATGAATGATCGTCAATTACAGTACATGTGGTAATTTTCAATTTGCAGATCTTTTTTTTTTTTTTAATAAAAAAGAAAGATTAAAAGATTTAACAATAATAAGTTACATTAAATTTCGTGGTATATCTGAGTAATAAAAAATTATGAAGCTGTATGATATATATGTCTTTGGTATGCAATTTTTTTTACATAGAAATGTATAAATTTCCACATAAATTAATACAATCGAAGTAATTACTTTATTGGTAAAGTAAATCATTTAAAAGTGGAGATTGATGTTCATGCTTTTTTCAATATAATAAACAGGAAGCTGAAAATTTTGGAAGTATCAACACGTGATGGCTTATTAGGATCGTCAGAAAATAGTATAATCATAACCTCGTGACACAATAATGTATCATATCGGATCCATTTATCAGGGTTAAATTTTCTTAATAATCAATCATTATGGATAATTTTTAATATTATTAATGTGTCAGCTGGCCGCTAATATCCTGCTCTGGCCAAAATCCCAAACATAAACCCCGAAAGTTCATTATCAAATTCCCGCCAATTCATTACCCGACACCTAGCGATCGCCATCCCAACTCAATTAGACAAATTCCTTTAATTATTATTGTTTTATAAATAATAATTTAAACATAACAGGTTTTATGTCTTTTTCGGTTTGATAGATTGTAATAAATAGTTATAATATGATTACATATGACATGAAACTAGAAATTGAATTATTTTGTTACCATTTTTGTTTAAATTATTTATCAATAATCATAACCTGAAAATATCCATATGAATGGCGACACAAATAATGTGGTATTTGATGATCATAAAAGAAAATTTTAATGATACAAAAATTTTTTGTTTCTAAATTCTAGCCGTTCTACTTAAAAAAAAAAAAAAAAATTCGAGAAGAAATAATTAGTAATCTTTCATTATTAAGCACTTGAAATAATTTGAAATGAGCCAGTAAGGAATGTGTCGCAGCCAATAAATTTTGACTACAAAAATGTCACGAGACGGCCGGACATTAAGAAATTAAATTGACAAATAGGATTTCACACCTCGAAAAATTCAGATACTTATGAAAAATAAGTTGAAAAATAGAAACAAGGAAGGGTGTAACGCATGTAACAAAAAACGGTCACGAGATTTTCGTTAGGTACGATGGGACGATGGGATCATAAATTTTCGGTGAAAACAAGTCGGGTAATTTTATATGTTGGTAAAATGGCATTTCGGTGAAATGGAATAGTAAATTTTAATGTTAATAAAATGGAAGTCAGCAAAATTGCGTCAGTTAATTTCATGTCTGTGAAATGGCTGTACTGTAACCAAGCTAAATTTCATATCGTGCATACCTGTACACGCGCACCCCCTATGGTAGCTTATTCTTTTTTCATTTTTATCGTTCTAGTTTTTCCTTTAAATAAGCGTTTTTTACTTTTTTTTTCTCTTTTGCTTTCCCCTTCCCTCTTATTTTCTTTTTTTATCTCCTCTTCCCTGTAAAAAATTTTATCCATAATTTCTATAACAAAACTCCGTAAATATGGAATAAAAAAAAAACACGGAATAAATTTTTATACAGTAGGGGCTTAATATACGTCGTATAAACGAAAATGCCTTCTCAATAAAGATAGAAACAGCTAAGACAAAGAATTATAAGAAGACATTTTCGACCTAACATACTCATTAATAATGGAAACACATTGAGGACCTTCCACAGCAAAGTACACGTGTTTTGTTAATTACTCAATTTTTCGATTTATATAATACTTCCCTATAAGAAATATGTATACGGAAAGGATACGTTTTGTATACATTTATGTACGTTTCTATAGATTCCGTATACAAACTCTTTATTATTAATAAAATTTAAAAAAATTATCAAGTAAAATATCGTAAATACCTCTTGAAACATCCAGATTCATAAAAAAAAATCGATATATTTTGTCTGGAATCATCGTTTTGATGACCAAAATCTCTTTGCTCTACTCTTTATATATTCAGGTGTATGACTTTCGACCCAAACTTGGTTTGTGCATAAGTTTATACAAACAGATATTATAGTTCTCATTAAGATATTTAATTAATAATTATATATCACGCGAGTTCGAGAGTCCTTTTATAACGTATCTGATATAATTAATAATTTAAACTCAAGAATTTGTTCATTTTCAAAGTGAAACCACTGAATTTTGCAGCAATCTTGCGGTTTTGACCGTATTACAGCTTTTGGACTAACAAATAAAGAATAGATGTTAGTAACAATGATAAATTGAAACATGAGTATAAAATGAGTATAAAAGTTATAACTAACTGTACTAGTAGAAGAATGTATGTTGCTGCACCTTTAGGTAACTCGTCAATACAATAACGATAAAAGGGATCTTGGGTAGAATGTTTGACAAAAGGGTACAATCTTCGAATTATCAGAGTTATAGCCGTTATGCGATTCCACCTTGTCTTGTTGATCTTGTTGAGGAGATTTCACGACGTCAAATCTCAGATTCAAATATTCTTTATTGGGATAAATACGAAGTTGACGTAATGTAGTTAGAAAATGTTCTATTGAATTTGTTTGGTTTTGTAACGTTTGACGGTGATGGTATAACTAAATTTGTATTTTTTCTTAAAATTTAAGAAAAGAGAAGACCTAAATAAAAGAGAAGACACGACCAAAAAGAGAATACTTAAAGAAAAGAGAGAAAAGAGAAGACACGAAAGAGAAGATGCAGAAAGAGAAACCTAAAGAAAAGAGAAGACACACACAAAAAATGAATTTTTTCTGAGACGTACATTAATTTCTTATCTAATAAATGAATGGATATTTCTTACGAAATACAATTTTGTTTTTTGTTTGGCTAAATATACATAAAAGATGGCTCATGATTATGATATGAACAATTATTGTATAACAATTTTACATACTTTATTATAAACTTCGTCTATATTTATTTAATTTATGCATACCTATTAAAATCACTAAACATCTCTGAAAAATATTTATCCAATTAACAATATTGTTCATTAATCTGTAATCATGACTCATGAGTCATAGTTTCAAAAATTTCTTAATGATGTCTAGATTTTACTTTGATAAGATTGATACTAAAAGCCCATACTTCATTTGGCTTTTTGCACAAAAGTCGATTCAAAAACACTAATATGCATTGGATTTCCGAAATTAACATACCAAAAAAATAAAGACTGTCCCTGTAAAAAAAGTCAATCCATTTTTTTTGCTTCATCTTCTTTCTGTTGCAAAAAAAAAAAAGATTTTGTAATATTAAAAAAATAGATTTCTTGGCATATTATTCAATCCAATCGTATTGTAATTGTTTTTAAATCTCAGTTTCATCACGAGTTTGTACCATGCTGTATATCACTAAGATCTGTAAAAAAAAAGTTTGGTCTTTATATTGCAGTGTAGTGTATAAAAAATAGAATAGTTTTACTTGATTCTATAAAGATTATGATTTCATAAAAATCTGCAGCAAATATTCAATAAAATAAAACCATTTCCATAAATAAATAACAATGTAAGGGTTTTCGTTTTGACTTATTTGAGTCATTTAACCTTAACGTTAAGACGTGTGCGATTATGTGATGTGATCGCGAAAAAAATTGAAACACGTTAAAAATATATATAATACACAACCTACCAATCTACCGATTTAGTCAAATTTTTTATCACCCAGAAAATTTATTATCAGCTGAGAGCGGGAAGAAACTATAGACTAGAAATATTTTTATAAAAATCGAAATATACTAAACTGTAAAATTGTAGTCATATTTAACTGATGGAAAAAAAACATCAATTATTTAGCCATTAACAAAAATATCAGTCTGTCAAAATCAGCATAATCCTAATATACTGACCAATAATTTATTTTTATATTATGTTTATCATGGTATGTATTGAATATTATTGAGAGTATAAGCCCCACAATATTCAAATCCCTAATATATACCAAATTTTGTTAATAAATGTTAATGAGTCATAATTAGAGATCTAGATTTCTACCGATCTATAGATGAAAATTATTTATAATCATTATTATAGATAGATAATGACATATGACTCATTAATAAAAACAGATATTTTACCAATTGATTTTATTGTGAATTGGTTGCTACAGATAAAAGACAATTCCAGAAAAATTTACCCTATCACCAATTGATACAAAACTGGTGGTAAAATACTTTAATCACTACTGGTTTGATAGTAATATTTACAGTAAATTCCAATAAATAATCCACAATTATATCTCATATTACTAGTTTAGGATAAATAACTATAAATTAATTGATGTAATAGATGTGACTCATACATAATCTAGATTTTTTTTTTATGAATCATAATAAGTTACTCTATTTTATTATTAGTCACTATGTATTCAAAAGGTTTTAAAAATATATATATACCCTTAAACTTTTTCAAAGAAAAATTAAAATTCAAACTTCAAATCAAATTTACTTTTTCAACTTTTTTCAAGTAACAAATTTTCAAATCAAATTTTTCAAATTTACTTTCAAGTCAAGCAACAAATTTT